GTCCAATTCACCTCTAGAAGAGAGTCACACTTTCAGGCTGGGTCCAACTCTATTTTATTGCTTGCAAGCAGGCTGACAGAGGAGCTTGTTGCTCAGATCAGTGCCGACCCTAAACAAAGAGCGCACGTGGCTTTTATTGAGCTAGCATTTTTTTCAGTTGACGTGTTACATTTTGATTGGTCATTTCAAACCAAAACCTGAGCAACTTATAAGACATTCGTAGTGGGCTATCCTGTACCATGTGGGTGGAAAGTTACAGAATGCAGGGGTTGACACTAAAACAAGGAACAAAGAAACATAGAGAAAAGTATCTATTTTCACTACAACCATGATCAATAGACTGCAGCGTGCAGTAAACATGGACTAGCTTACAAAACCTGCTATTCTATCAGGCCTCTCGGGAGAGTTCTCCAAGGACTTGCTTGGCAGGACACCTGGGAGCATCCCTGCAGATGTGAAGGCAGAAAGACTGTAGTTCAAGTGCTTTCTGGAATGTTTGTTATGATTTTAGTGGAGGTTTTGATGCACAGGAGAGGGATTTTCTCACAGATGGCCAGTGACCTCATTGTTATGGTGAGGGTAACATTGGGTGCAGTTAAAGACAAAAGTCACATAATCAGTTTACACAGCACCTCACTTTCCCTCACCCCCTTGCTACTCCCAGCACTGTAAAGATAAAGGATACAGGTAATTGGACACAGTAATCCTTTTAAGATGCATCTGTTCTAATATAATTCCTAACTCCTGGCCAGGTTCCAGGGTTCTGTGTACAGAAAATCACAGGGGCATGTTGCTTGTGGTGCTCTAAAATGCCCGCCAGAGGGAGAGAGAAAGAGGGAGAGCTCCCCCACCCCCCAGGAATTTATCTGGCCAGGTCACCTGATTGACCACCCTGCAGTCTGATGGGACCCCTCCACTGACCTGGAATGTTACCTCTCTTTTCCATTCAGGTGTGTTAACATGTGGCTAATATGAATTAAATATAGTTGAGCTTCAGTACTGAAAATATTTTTAAACACAGATAGCCAAGCTCAACAAATTAGTTTAAAAAGACAAAGACATCACTTAAACAGACATTTTGTCAACCTTGATGAGTAGTCTCACAGCAGTTTCCTCACATAGGAAACCTGCTATGAATGCTTAACTTTTTGTGTTCTACCTATTTTTAGACTAAATTATCTTAATTAGAGTAGCTCTTAATAAATTAATTAACTGCTCTAAAGTGCCTGCAGCATCACATATATTCAGTGTTTTGTGCTTCAAAATGGTGGTGGGGGTGCTTTAACTAAAGCTCATTGAGCAAGATTTAGTTAAAGCACCCCCGCTGCCATTTTGAAATGCAGGGCCACCGAATACACATGACACAGAGGCTGCTGCACACTCCAGCAGACTTGCAGCAGACTAAATTAATCTGATGCGTGCTAATTAGCATGCATCAGAGCAGAGGTCCATCACATGTATTGGTGTCCTACAAAGACTAGTCTAGGAGAAGACAAGAAGTTTCATGGATTTTCCTGAACAATTTTAGGAAAACACTGACTTAAACAAATAGGGGTTGGTCAGAAATAGTTAACTCATACTACCCCAAACTTAGCAAATGAATAGTTTTAACTATGCTAGTAATTCTCTCATACAAAGCCCCTGCTTTAAATATCAGTCAAACCAGTCTCACATTATAGTCTGGGGTCTGATCTCTTGCCTAGGTTAACATAATGGAATGCATTGTGGGTACAGTTTAGAAGGTTAGGTACATTTTAGAAGGTTAGGTACACAGTATTGCATGTCTCTCTGTACAATTTAGGTCAAAGATAAGAATGGCTTTAATACCTATATAATATAATTTACATATACACATATATTTATATGACCTAATATACCCGACTGTAAGAGTTCAGTGGTGTGCCGCCTGGAGCTGAGTTGTCTCTCTGCTGAAATAGTTGTGTTTCGTCCTTTGAAAGATGTTCTGCCACGTCTTGATGTTAGAGAGAGAGTTGCCAAAACACTTTTGGGAGACAAAAGTGTCAGTTAAAGGCTCAAGAGGTCAGCTTATTTTTGCAGGACTCCACCATTCCCATACCCTGCCCTAACCACACCAGATGTTCCGGGCATGTTGTTGTTTGCCTATAGTACTGAGGGTCCAGCCTCAATCTTATGGACTCCTTTGCCGAGGATCCCCCTCTTAAGTTAGCTGCTTGCCCCGTTCTTCCCTGCATGGGTCCCAAGACAGCCACTTCTTAGTTCTAATCCTGCCCTTATCTTTAGGGTTAGGACAGATTTACCCCCTCCTTGGGTGTAATCTCATCTGGGTCTTTGTTCTCCTGTTCCCAGGGCAGTTACCTTCACCCCTCAGGACCAAACTCCTCAACAGAGCAGTCTTCTGTCTCTTTGCTGGCTCTCACCAGGTAAGTTTGGGGGCTGGGGCTTTCCTCTAAGCCCTGGGGTTTGTTCTCTCTCTCCTCGCCATCTTCTTTCTCTCCACCTTGTCTTCCTGACCCAGCTGTTTTTCCTTTAACTTTTTGGCGCAGCTTTTTTTCTCTTCTTTGGCTGTGTTTTTCTCCCTATCTTGGGCTCAAACCTTGCCAGCTGAGTTTGCCATGGCAGCCTTTGATCTGCTGTGGCCCAAGATGGTCCCCTTAATTACTCAGGGCATGGCATATTTCTCACCCCAGCTCACTGTGGTTTTCTTGGCATCTCTAGGTAAGTTTCTTTCCTTTGTTTTGTTCTTTGTGTTCTCATAGCAGGGTGCTTCAGGCATCCTGTCACAATGACATAACATTAAGATAAAGATACATAATTGTGGTTGGCATCATTAGCAACAGGTACCTCCAAAATGTTTATGTCCTTGGTGGGTTTCTGAGCCTAAAAGATTAACGAACCAGCTCTAGAAACAGAAGATTGATAATGAAATATAATATACCCAATACTACACCGTAGATGGACTAGATTCATTTAGATTAGTCTTTTCTCTTTAAAAAAATAATTATATTGTGAACCTGCCTTCACTGTGCTGTAAGCCTGTTTTTTCACCTGCAGCCTCCAGATAGCTGAGAAAAAAAAGGTACACCAATAATAAGAAGAGTGACAAAAAAGCCATGTCACCTAGAACATGGGGGGAAATTAATTTCTTACATTTCTGAAAAATGGACTTAAAGAGCAGGCATTCTGCAATCAGCCATCCTGCCCAGAAGCCTGAGCATATGAATGTGGTTGCAAAGAGGATGAAATAAGAGGGCCAGGAATGACAACATTGTAGCAGCAAAAGAAGCATGTCCAATGCAAGGAGATGCAATGGATGTGGGAGGAAAAGAACAGAAAATCCTGGCTGGGTCACTGGAATGGGAAAAGAATATAAGGAAGTGACTAGGATCCCATGCAGTGCCTGTTCATAAATGAACAGCACCTGCAAGGACTGCGCCTGTCTTTAACTTGGTGCCAGCCCAAGCCCTAAGACATTTTTTACTTACTACCACACATGCCTTTCCCAGCATCCTCAGCAAGTGCTTAATCAAGACACTCCTCCACCACCCACTCCACAACCTGCCAGCTCTTCGGGACTTGGAGTTGTCAGTGGTTTCTAGTAGATGGACAGTTCAAGCAACTTCACGGAGCAAACAATCCCCACTCACTTGACCCCTGTCCAGCCCCATGCCTCATAGATAAGAAGAGATGAGAGGAGAAAGTAAAATAAGAGAAGTGATGGTGTTACTTTAACTTGCCAATTGCTCAAATAATGAGCAAGACCTTATAAAGGGGGCAAAATGCCGTATTTATTGATTACATAAATTAGACATAGAGGTTTGGATACACCACTCATATAGACACACACAACTCATCATGCACAAAACTTACAGAGGCACACACAAACACAAACCAACCATTCCATTCAGACATTATAGCTACCAGCAGCAGTTGTTCAATAATAGCACTGGGTGGCCAGCCCAGACCTTATTGAGAGAAGATGCAGATAGCAGGTAGAGTGGTTATTATGAGTGAAAGATCCTGTAGATAACAGCTTGGAGCAGGGTGAAACAGATGGGTCTGTGCTCAGACAAAACAGTAGTTGATACAGAGACTCACCCAACTTAGCAGTCTCAAAGTTCTCTTTTATAGGGGTGGCATCCTTTGTTTCAGTGCCTTGGGGTTTTTCCATACCCAGCTTCTGTTTTTGCGGTTGTTCTTCATTCATCTTCAGCTTATCTAAGCCTGAGGTCACTTTGGTCATAGCTGGTATCTTAGCCTTGGAGTGTTCTTGCTGCCCGTCTGGCAATATGTGTGCTTCTCTCTTCCTCATTATTCCCTGCTGTGTCTTAGGCCTCAAAGGGATTCTTCAGCCATCCATTAATTAGTTTACTGACTGGTAATTTACAGTTGGCACCTTGTTGCTTAAATAAACAGTTAAAATCTTCTCCCATCTCTATGCCATTCTCTCACCATTCACCCTTTCACATCCACTCATTCAAAAAGGGCAGAGTTCATTCACTTCTGTCAAGCAAAAAGAGTACAAAAATGGAGTTTTCAAGTTACTTACAGGACAAAACTAACATGGTTACATTTCACTACTACTATTAGTTCAGTTCATGCTATAATGGAGGCAACCTACACACTACTGCTACTGAAGTGGCAGGCGTTGTTTGTTTGTTTGCATTTACATGTTTCCACCTGTTTGACAGATAAAAAGCACAGCTAAATCTTGTTAGCAGCTCGTTAATATGACTGCATCATGTCTTTCCCTGCTTGAATGTATTTGTGAGTTTAATACATTCACTATTTGTGTTAAGCACTTTCTGTTGTCCAGTTAATTACGAGGAAATGAGAAGCTGCAGCTATGCCAGGTTTTATCAAAGTATCAGAAAACAATAAGCTCTCTATGTAAGTCAATTCTACTGAACCCCATTCCTGTAAATGAGCATTTGTGGAGATTTACATTTAAATTGATATTTTATTAGCAAAATCAGCCCTGTGCTACAGTAGTCCTTAAAATTGACTAGGCACAATATAACCCATAAAGATTAGCAGCCCTCTCATCTCAGGAGCTTAAAAAAAGCATAACTGCCACTTAAAAAATCTGTAGCATATATCTGAACAGCATGTTCCACTGGAATTCACAAACCACAAAGCACCATATGTATTTGCAGTGGATTACTCTTTGAAATCATCAGGCATGACATTGATGTGAGCACATATGGCATCCCTGATTTCCCTCACTTCCCTTGACCTTATGTCTGTGTTGTTTATCAGGATGCTTTCTATTTGTGTGAATCGGCTAAGGAATCCCTTGGTATCCAGGGTATCTAGAGTCTACTTCTTATGAAAATATTCATCCCTAGTGTCACAGACTGCAGGGAACAGCAAGCCATAATTGTACATACAATGTTTTTAACATTTGCATCAAAATAATTTTGGAGGTAGTGCCATATTCCTTTCAGCCTGTCAAGTGAATGCTCTACCACCACTCTGAACTCCTAAGCATGTAATTTCATTTTCTGTGTGGTACTTTGTTTTCTGAGTAAGACTTCAGAAACCATAGTAGGACAGGATAGATGAAGGTTACCAAAATAACAGTGGACATCTGCAATGTCACAGAGACAATAAGGTCCTAGCTTGTCCAAATAAATGCCAGATTTCCTTAAGCCCTTGGCATTGTGTACCTTGCA